CGTTGTGGCTTGGACAGATTTCCAGCACAATTGACTTCCAGCATTCTTTCCGCAGGGCTTGATGTGTAAGCCTTGTCCTTTTCTCTAGGCTCTGATTTTTGCCTCTAGCTCTTGGGTTCTTTCTGTACCCTATCGGTGTTACACACCAGACACACAGTTAAAAAAAAATTGAAGATGTAAGCATTGAGAACACAAGATTAATGTTTTGTTTAAATGGATCCTAGGTGCTACCAAAACCCCAGAGTTTTGCACCAAAATTTTGGCGACAAGAGGGAAGACACTGCCTGTCAAGAATAATGTTGAAACTTTCAATTTCGGAGAGGTCTGCAAGCAGGATTATGTGGAAGTACAGTAGTGGGGAAGACTAATAAACTTAAGTAAATGGTGTTCTTGTGATAAAGCTGGAATCTGTTTTCACTTGAATACTTAGAAATAGTTAAATCAGTTGATATGCATATTTTTCTTATTGGTGGTTCTGGTGGTCCAGCATGTTTTTGGTGAGGCAGACTATTGATGTGCAGACCTGTATTAATAGAATGTGGGCTGCACAGGTAGGATCTGAGAATAGTGTTAAATTGCTGGCAGTGGTTTGGGTTAGTGTTTGACAAGTTCATGTTAAGACACAGCAAAACCAACTTCCAAATTGAAGTGGTGGTGTTAAAGAAAATTGCACGTAGAATAGTTTGGGTTGAAAGGGACGTTTAAAGGTCATCTAGTCCAACCCCTGTGCAATGAGCAGGGTCATCTTCAGCTAGATGGTTGCTCAGAGCCATGTTGAACCTGCCCTTGAATGTTTCCAGGGATGGGGCATCTGCTGCCTCCCTGGGCAACCTGTGCCAGTGTCTCACCACCTTAAGGAAGAAATTTTTTACAATTGTATCTAGTCTTAATCCACCCTCTTAGTTTAAAACCATTACCTCTCGTCCTGTCGCAACAGACCCAGCTAAAAAGTCTGTCCCCATCTTTCTTACAAGCCCCCCTTACACATGCTCCTCATGAAACTGGTCAGTGTGTATCATTTGGCTTGAACTTCTCCACTGCAGCTCTGTTACAGTCACAGACCATCTTAAACAACTTATAACTATTAAAACATTTAAGTTGGTCATGGAAGCCTGGTTGTTATGCTTAGTGTTGCTATTTGGTTTGGTGTGATAGCTGTCCTCATTCTTCAAATGCAATACTACATTTTATTTGGCCTTCACATGAAAATGGTTTATGAAATAATATCATGTCACCTCAGTACGTTCAGAGGCACTATGGACAGGGAGTGAGGAAGGGAATTGGTTGCTGCAACTGCAGTCTCTATTTGAGTGGCCATTTGAGGCTAGATGGCCTCTCAGAAGTGAGTGTTAATGTCTGAGGGTCACAATGAGATGTTCTTCAGCAGTAGAATTGCTGATCTGTGTATTAAACTCTGTTTTCAGTGTGTGAAAAATGTAGCTGTTCTCTCAATACAAGACTTTTTTTAAATGGCAAATGCTTTGTCTGGTCAAGTGTAGCTGTGAAAGCATCCTTTTACTAACCTGATGTTGCAAATAGTTCGACATGTAAATAGCATATATGATTGAATAGTGATACATGAAGTCCTTCTGTTTTGTAAGTAATGTTAGCAAGACATTCAGATCCCTGATTCTGCTGATATTTAGTAGTGGAATTTGTCTCTTTAAAAAAAAAACAAGGCATGATACAAAAAATAAACTAGAATTTGTGAATGGTAGTTCCTTAAGTAGAAGCAGCAAAACACTGTAATATACTATGAAAGTCTCCCCTTGCTCTTTTTTTGGCTCTGTTACTACTACTCTGTTAGTATTTTTTTACCTTTGCAGTTAAAGTTCCTTCCTAGATGCTGTGCCTGTTTGACCTCTATGTAGAGGCACTTGATACTTAACTGAAAGTGCATAAAATGGTGTCTGGCTTAATTGTATGTCAAAATCTACAAGTAGGTTGTATCTTTGAGTTAGTGTTGAAAAAAGGAATAAACTAGGATGAAATGTTTGCCGTAGGAGGTAGCATCCCTCCAGGAACATCTGCTAGCAGAAGTTCTGGATAACGTTTTGGCCTTGCCGGAATCTCCCTTTGAGGTTTCAGGCATGTACAAATTCGTGATTTGGCTTTAGTTTTAGCAGGAGATTATTTTCATAAAAGGGTGATGGGAAGCTTCCCATTAAGCACAACAGATAAAGCTGTTTGTTTTTTTTTTTTAAAAAAAAAAAAAAAGAAAACCCAACACACACCATAAAACCAACCTAGCATGTTAACTTGAGCTTTTAATATACCAAAGACTTAATGCAATGGGACAGATGCTAATGAATGCATTTCAGCTATATTTGTCCTGATCAGTAGAAAACTTGAATACATATGGAGACATAAGTTTTCACAACTGTAATATTCTCTTCTGTACTACAAATTGAGTTGGTATCATATGGCATCAAACTCTGGTCTCCTGTTAACAAGTTACAGGTGGAACATGGTGTGCTCATTCACAGTTTTTGGACAGACAGAAGCTTAAAAGCAGTCTGTTCAAAGTCTGTGTGCTTTAAAAACCTGGGCTTGTCCATGTAAGTGAATCTGTAAACCTTTCAGTATAGCTATATATGTTGATGAGGAGAGTCAAATTGCTTTGCTGAGCAAAGTCCTTTTGTATTGGTATCCGTTTAAGCCAATGTATTGGTATAACTTACAGGTGCGCTTGTAAATATGTGTATGTATATATTTGGAGGGAGCAGGGCTGGGAAGTCACCTTTTGACTAACCAGCAAGGCTTGTCCCATAAAGAGTGGAATTGCATTGAGTTGCATTTTGTACTGATTCACTATGTTTCTGTAGTCGTACCCTCTTTTGTCTAGTAACTGGGCAAGAAATGCTGTGGTTTGTGTCTGGTGTTGAGCTAACCTATTTATTGACAAGTACAAGTATGCTGGTTGTCTATCAGCAAGCCAAACAACTGTGAATGTTGAACTCATGCTTCTCTCTTGGTGGAAGGAATTAACTTCTCTTCCATCAGTCTGTTGGCCTTTGGAAAATGTAGTCTTGTTTGTCCTCCAGAAATCTCAAATTTGTCTGTAATTATCTAAGTTCAGTTCTTATTCTAGGCCTGAAACTGAACCTTATAAGATAAAAATGTCAGAACAAGGATAATAAATATGATTTGCTCAAGTAGTTAATCTGTTTTAAGTGCACACTTGACTCAGCTTCTGTTCTATGGTTAAGTGTTGCTGCATATTTGGAGTTTCACTCAACATTGCAAGAGTTGTAGAATTGTGGATGGATATTCACTATTCTGTTATTTTTTTAGGCATACCTGAAAAAATTTAGAAAGTATACTTATAACCTTATTGGTCTTGTCTTATGGTTCTTTGGAAATGATACATCTTAACATCTTGTTCCTTTTTAAGAAAGAAAAAATAGATGAATGTGTGAGTTTGGCCTTCCCTTAAAGGGGACTCCAAGTTTTGCTGCAGCCTGAGTTATTTCAGATTGCGATGTGTAAACTAGTTTTCAGTTTAAAATTCTCAAAGCTTTTTTGTTGCTGTTTAAATGTTAATTGCCATAGTATAACTATTTGCCTCTGATGGGAACTCCCTGGCCATCCTGCTAAAGGCAGCCAGGCAGAGCAACCTCATCTAATACCAAGGTGAGCTCCCCTTGGTTTTGAGGGGTGACTTAGGTGACCTCTGCAGGTTCCTGTTGACCAGACTTATTCTATGATTTACTCTCCACTTAATCGCAGTTAACTGCAGGTGTCTTTGAGTTTCAAGCAACAAAGACTTAAAAACTAACTGCAGTTAAGCCCTTTCCCACAGCCTGGAGGAGGACCCTTGTTTTGACACCTTAGCCAATTACTTAAAAGTGAGCACAGGCATGTTTCTGTGTTGTTTGTACCCTGGTAAGCAGTGTGATGATGTATATGTTTGCAAAGGAGTTACCACACTCTGCATTAATTTAACATAGATTTTTTTTTTTTGCCTCTCTCCTGGAAGATTGATGGAGTGGGAGTGATCTGTGTGAGATAGTTCAAGTACTCAAGCACATAACTGAAATGACAGTTTATCCTGAGAGTAGCTGTCTAAATTACAGCAGGACAATATACCTTATTAACTGAAAATGGTGCCAAGTTAAGCCTGGTTTTTTTTCCTTCAAGTTAAGAAACTTAAATCACCTTAAATCATTTTTATGCTTACTAATCCCTTTAACTGGCTTAAGTAAATTTGTTTTAAAGTGATCAGCTGTAGTGATCAGTAATCAATTTAAATCACTAAGACCTTACTGACTTATTAATATCAGGTAATGTCTTCCCAAAGATCAAAAGGGACTCAGGTTCACATATTTTGGGTGCTTTTTTTCCCCTTGTGTTCCCACAGTTGAACTGCATTGTTTACCAGTTTACCTAGTGATTAGGTAAGTGCTCCCCTAAATAAATCTAAAAGTAACCTTTACCTCTGCGGTTATTTTTTTTTTTTAATGCCCAGGTAAATTCTCCCTCCTTGGATCTCTATATCTAGATTTTTGAGATGAGAATAGGTCTATCCTACTACATAGTTCTCTCTCTTTTTTTTTTTTTTCTCTTCCTCCCCAAAAGTATCCATTAGCAACAAGGAAAGTCTTCTGGCTAAGATTTCTTGCTCTGGGAGGTCACTAGGCCAGGGAAATGGGATGTTGAAAGGAGTGTCTCTAGACTCTTAAAGACTGACTCTTCTGAAAAGGATTTCTGAATCAAAGTAGACACTTCTGCTTGCCTTTCCTGTTTCTGTTGAAAACAAATTACTAACTTTTTATAAAAAAAGAGACCATGAGTTAGAGCACTGGCTGCATGTAAATGAAGGCAGATATTGTTCTGAATGTTGGAAAAGGCAATGTAATATAAATAGTCATATCCAACCACAGCTTCATAGTGATCTGATTACCATACCTTGCTGAAAGAGCTACTGCATTTGTACTAGTATGTTAAGGTATTCTGCTTTGAAATGGATTTCACTGATTGTATTCTGTCTTTTTTTCCAGAAATGTTATGAACAAAAACAGTACAAAAATGGACTCAAGTTCTGCAAGATGATCCTCTCTAACCCAAAATTTGCCGAACATGGAGGTAACTGCAGATTTAAGTGTGTTTTGTTTTTTTTTTTTTCCTATTGTGAGGTTAAATGAGTAATCAGTCTATTCGTTACTAATGGGAAAGAAAGGAATCTGTTGCTGACTATGATTCTATCCTTATGACTGAATAATTACTCTGGATTTTCAGTCTTCGTGTATTCAGACTAGCTTTCCACCCTAGCTCAGTCAGAAACACTCCTGTGTGGTGCAGTGATGAAGATAAATATGTATGGTGGAAGCACACTTCAGTGCAGGTTCTAAGTAAGTTGTCTTTCCTAGGGTTCTGGGTCAGAATGCTAGCATGGGTTTTTCTTGCATTCCTATTTAAAAGCAAGACCAACCTTTTTTTGAATATCACATGAAGGTATTCTGCCAATGAATTAAAAAGCTTGTGCTTTAAGTGCATACTCTATATTTTCTGTACTACATATCAAATAGCTACCTTATAAGGAATGAAGTTAAGTGTAATACTGTTGCTGCTAAGACTTGGTGCTAAAGACAAATCTGGAGATCCTGTTCTGATAAATATTGCAGGAAACTGGACAACAAAATGTTGCTTCTATTCACATCTGTCAGAACTTAATCCTTAATAAGATACTCTAGTCTTTCTGTGTTACAGGGTTTCAGTTGCATGGTTCAGCCAATCTTTATTTTCTGATGCAGTGAATTTTTCTTATTTGCTATTGAATCAACCTAATGTTGAGTGTGCATGTGCTGTGTCAGTAAAATTATTTTGCTATTTGACATTGTCAAATCTTGGCAAAATGTTTGACTAATCCTTTCTATGCTGCAATCAGTGTCTACTGTTTCTGCATTATCTTCATTACTTCCCTAGAGATAAAAGTACAGTTTTCTTGTTGCTTCAAAGCTGGAGTGGCTTTGGCCAGCTCTGACTTAATGCATTTGTCTCTACTAGCATTTCTGTTTTTATAACATCTCAGTGTGCATCTCTGTCTTTTCTGCTCTTGCTGCCTCTTAAACTTTTCCAGGACAGCTAGCTGCCTTGGCAGCCCACATACTACTTGGGCTCTGAGCCACTAGTGGCTTTGAAGCTTGGGAGCAAAGCCTGGAATGAACAGCTGAAGCAGAACTAAGCCAATGAAGTGATCTGGTGGGAAGCTGCACTGTTGTCACACTTAGCCTCAGAGACAAGGAGTTTGAAAAATTTAGTGAGAAGGTGACAAACAGATGGTTTGCTGTGGCTGGACAGTTACCTCCCTGGTATGGGAAGGTAGGAGTAGCTTGCCTTCCTTCCCACAGTGGAGATGATCTTCAAGCTTCGTGATATTATTGGGAAGGTAGCATTCTAGCTTTCTCTGTTCTTACAGTGTGGATTTAGGACAATTTAAAAACATGACAAAAACATTGGCTCATTTTGTGTCATGATTCCCTTTAGGTGTACTTTTACTGGAAATGGTGTTAAACAGGTCTATCAATGAGACTTCAAACTGCAGTTATGGCTGACCTTGAGATGATGGGCCATTGCTATTAATATTGGGAAAAGGTTACAACTGGAGGAAAACCAGAGTACTATGATGAAAATGTGACTAATAATCTTCTGGCAGGGACCAAAATTAAGAGGTCTCCTATTTAGCAAAAAAAAAGTCTGTAACAGCTTTCAGGTATAGTGTATGCACTACACTGTGGAAAACAACTTGCGTGTTACTTGAAGAATGGGGGAAGAGGAGGAGCAGTAGTTGTACCAATGTATTATTTGGAATCTTGTACCTCTTGGAATGTTGATTAAAATGTTACTACTTTGAGAAGGTCTTTCACACCCAAAATACTGTAGTAGGAAATATGTTCCTCTTAACCAGTGCTTTGTAAGCACCCTGTAATAGTGGAGCTGACTGTGACACACATCTGTTTCTTCGGGTGTGATGCAACCTAACAAATTTTTTCTTTTTCTGCCTACCTGGAACTTTTAACACACATTGAGAAGCTCTCTAAAATTGCTTTAACTTATTATTAACTCCCTTAAAGCCAGTTAAATGTATGTTTTAATTAATAAAGCTTGTGTTGCCCGTGTTCATCACATCTGTATGATGTTCTGTAGTGGTCTTTTTAAGACCAATTTCAGGAAAGGAAATGCTTCCATCTAACAGTCTTCAGCTGTGCTAGGTTGTTATCCTGATCTAAATATATCATTTAACAGGGAACTTCACTGTGTAACAACTTCAAAGGATATCTGCACTGTGAAACTGGCATATGGGAAGTTGGAAACATAAGTATGTGATATTTCTTACAGAGACGCTTGCGATGAAAGGACTGACCTTGAACTGCTTAGGAAAGAAGGAAGAAGCATATGAATTTGTTCGTAAAGGACTTCGTAATGATGTAAAGAGTCATGTCTGTATCCTTTGTAGTAAAAAAACCTGATCTTTCTGCTAGGAGTTACCGCTTCCGCATATATGATTTTGTTGCAACATCAGGATATGCTTTTGAAGTACATAGTGGTCTGCATAAAAAATGTCTAAGATGTGTAGAGTTAATTGGTAATCAAATACTAGAAAAAAAGCTTTATTTCCACAATTTTGCAGAATGTTTAAGAAAATGCCTTTTACATTTATCTCTTGGGAAAAGACCATCTATGATGTTTACTTTCTGCAGAGAATAGGTATGGCATTTAAAATCTGGCTTTTTCTAGAGAGTTCTTCTCTCTTAAAAAGGTGTAAGAAAACCAGTCTTGGTGTGCTCTGAAAATATCTATTTTGCCACTAAATTTTAGATAAAGGTTTAGGTCTGCTGTCTTGATGACTACTACTCTGTTCTAAGCTTGTCTTCCAAAAGCTTATACCATTGAAATACTTAGCAGCTACCCAAGAGCTCTGGGAGTAGCTGTCTTCTGTTGAAGCCTCAGGTAGGAGGCTGCTTCAGATTTGCACAGAATGCCTTAATTGTTCTGTCTGCATTTGACTTTTGTGTTAAGGGGCAAAATTCACATTAAATAGTCAAGTTTTTTAACATCTTAAAAAATCTTCCTTTAGTATCACAGTTGAAATAAACTTTCTGATGGCTGTCTAGTTAAGACAGAGGGATGGCTATTTACACCGTTCCTGTATTAAACATCCAGGGAGCTTGAGGTTGGGAAAAACTTAAGTGTATGGAACTTAGCAGAGTTACTAGAGATATGCCATAGAACAATAAAAAATAATTTGTATCTTCTTGATCTTAAAAGCTGGACACCTAAGGAATACCAAAGCAACTTTATGTATTGGAAGTCTTGCACTTTAAATCAGGGAGCAAAAGAATCTGGGCGAGTTAGTGGAGAGTTTTGGGGGTTTCTGATTCCTAAACATAATTTAATATTGGGATTTATCAGCATCCCTAATTCTTGTGTGCAATTCATGTTGACTGTAAAGCTCTCTAGAAGAGTTCCCTACAAATACTGGAGGGATCTGTGCTTTTTTGGATCTAGTGTAGGGGGCAGGGAGGCCAAAGGGACCCTCTTCCTGGATGAGTTTTTTTTGTTGGTGGTGTTTTGAGTGTTAGTGGATTTTTATCACTGTTTTCCTGACTTCTGAACTTAAGAAGACTACAAGGATTTTTGTTTTCTGAATTCAAAGAAAGTGTAAGCTCATCTAAATCCTATTAGTCACAAATGTTTTGGTTTGGTTTTTTTTGGAGCTGCATCCATAGAACTAGCTCTGAGAAAGCAATAGATTCCAACTTGTTGCATTCAAGTGTATTGTTACAGCTCTACAGAAAATCCCCTCGACTAATCTTGTCTATGCAGAATTACTTCTCTAGTCAGCACAAGCTGACTGATACTGAATTAATTCCAGACTAGGCTTCAGGTTTGTCACAGTACTTTCAGTTGTCATCTCTTGATAAATTCCGAAGAAATGGCAAACCTCTTTTACTGTTGCCATAATTCAAGCATACCTGGTGTGCTGTCATAATGTCACTACCCAAACATCTGCATCTTTCCTGATGGTGTGGCTCCAGTACATGGGCAGAGTCAAGACTAGGAAAATATATATTCTAGCCCATGAGAAACTGGTATCTGAGGCTGAGCTTTTAAAAAGAGGTTCCTTCTATGTCTTTTGCAAAGGGCTTTTGGTAAGCCATGAAATTCTGATGAAAACTTGAAGGCCTATTGATTCTCAGCGATACCTAAGCAGAGCTTGGGAGGTTCTCTACAATAACATTTACAATTCCTGTTTTATATGAGCTTGATGCCTGTTTGGTTTAAAGGGAGAGGTGGGGGGTAGCTGCTAAAGTTGCTAGTTCCAGTAGCATGTTTCAAGGAGGTGTAATACATCTGTGTTGTTATTTTCTTGTGGTAACATTCGAAGGTGCTTTTGGTGTCTTTTGTCATTGGTGGTCTTTAAAAAGCACCTGGTAGCGGGTGTTTAACATACAGTGGTCACTTTGGTGTTCTGATGTTTAAGGTGGAGTAGAAGGTTTTAATTCTTCGGCATTTCCTCGTATTGAGGTTTGGGAGGAAACAACTGTTCTAAAATTGTGTAGAAATGCATAAATTTTCCGGTCAAACTACAAATTAATTCTGACCCGTTTTTGGATATAACTTGGGGGATGATCTGGTCAGATCTACACTTATTTCAAGAATAAACATTTCAGATAGTGCCATGTTATACTCAGGACACTGCAGAAACACATGCAAGACTTCCCAGACCCGTCTGTTATAATAAATCAGTGGCACTGTACTTTATTGGCTTGCGTCAGCTGTTAAAATTTCTTATGCTTAGTCTTGACTACTTTATTTCTGAATGGGTTTATGCTTTCCTTTACTTGATTGCTTGGTGAAGAATATGATTTATGAAAGATTAAGCCAGATTACCAGTTAGATCCAGGAATGGTAATGATGCCTGATAAATTACATTTTGGTGTAACTGCATCCAAAATTGTTTCATCCCCCTTTTCCTTTTAGTCTTAGTCATGGCAGCAATAGCAGCTCTGCTAGCAGTCTCAAAGATGCATATGGAGTTTTTGTATGCTTCAGCTGGCTGAACTTATTTTCGTGTTCCTGTAGAAATGTAAAACAGGGTCCCTTGCTTGTATATTAGAAGTTTCCTTCAGACTATTAATTCTCACAAGTATTTTTTTTGGCAGGAGTTCTGTATCTTTTGGTCTTGATAATTACAAACCTGCTATATATCTTCATATCTGGAACTTGCTTCAGGATGTGAGTCTTTCTCAGAGGGAGCTTAGAGTTCTGTTTCTTTGATTAATTTGACCAGGTTAACCCATTGAATTTTTTGTTCTTTCTCAACTTTTGGAGATGCTGTTTAAAAATCATTGTATCTTTGGAGGGAACAGTTGCTTCTGTTTCAATTCACTAGCATAAGAACTCTTATTATTAGCACTACAAGTTCTTTTTGCCATCTGAGTTGAAAGTGGGTGAAGGATGCATGTACCTCCTCAAGATTTTATGTGTTTTGCTGCTTCAGGGCATATGGGAGAACTTTTGAGCCACTTCCAATTTGAAAAATCCAAGTTCAGATTTCTTACTGTGGAAGATGTTGCCTCAGTGAGCTACTAGTAATCTGAAGTAGCAAAAGGTAGATCAAGTCAAGTTATCTTTCTTTTATTGTAACTTTTGGAGACTGATGTGAACACAGTGTAATGCATTGCTATGATATACATTGGTTTCATGGTTTGAATTCACAACTTTTCCAGGGTAAAAAAGGATGCTTGTGCGAGAAAAGTCTATTGAATTTTGTGCAAAGTCCTGCATGTGGGTTGATGCAATCCCAAGAACAAATACAGTCTGGGTGGAGAATGGATAGAGAGCAGCCCTGAGGAGAAGGACTTGGGGGTACTGGCTGGTGAGAAGGTGAACATGAGCCAGCAGTGTGCGCTTGCAGCCCAGAAAGCCAACCGTGTCCTGGGCTGCATCAAAAGAAGCATTAGCAGCTGGTCGAAGGAGGTGATTCTCCCCCTCTGCTCTGCTCTTGTGAGACCCCACCTGGAGTACTGTGTTCAGGTGTGGGGCCCCCAACATAAAAAAGACCTGGACCTGTTGGAGAGAGTCCAGGGGAGAGCCATGAAATTAATCAGAGGGCTGGAGCACCTCCCCTATGAGGACAGGCTGAAAGAGTTGGGGTTGTTCAGCCTGGAGAAGAGAAGGCTCTGAGGAGACTTAATAGCAGCCTTCCAGTACCTGAAGGGGTCCTACAGGAGAGATGGGGAGGCACTCTTTATCAGGGAGTGTAGTGAGAGGACAAGGGGTAACAGGTTTTATCTGAGAAGAGGGTAGATTTAGATTAGTCATTAGGAAGAAATTTTTCACTGTGAGGGTGGTGAGGCACTGGCACAGGTTGCCCAGGGAAGCTGTGGATGCCCCATCCCTGGAGATGTTCAAGGCCAGGCTGGATGAGGCTTTGAGCAACCTGGTCTAGTGGAGGGTGTCCCTGCACATTGCAGGGGGGTTGGAACTTCATGATTTTTGAGGTCCTTTCCAACCCAAACCATTCTATGATTCTGTGAATTGACACACTACTGATAGAAATATGAGATGCTGAGAACGTGACAGACTTAACACGCAGAAATGCTGAGATTTCCTTTTGTCAGTGCATGAAGTGTAGCTCTGTTTATCCCTTACTGTAAAATCTGGAGACTAATTGAGGTTACAGATAGGCAAGTGAGGAAAAGTAAAATTTGTACACCAATTGTATTGTTAGAATGAGACATTTCTAA